CTCCTCACAATTGATTAACCCTTGGAGAAGGTGTCCTGTTAAAAAACAAGCTCGTGGTTTGGAGGATTGTTCCACATTGTGTCTGGTGGTGTTTGTGGCGTGAGAGAAATAACAGATCATTTGAAGGAAAAGAATCGTCTTTAGCTAATTTAAAAATTCATATTCTTCGTTCTTTGTTCTGTTATGTAAGAGGAAATGCATGCCGTTACTAAATGGCATTATCAATTATCATTATTATGTCTTAATGTTGAAGCAAGACTAATGTAACTTATTTACTAGAAAAAGGACTAAATTAAATTATATTGGCAAGCACAGTGCTGGATCCATAAATATTTCCTTAGGGAACAAAAATTTATCTGTGCTGTTCATTTCAGAAGTTCCTACATGTCACTTGAATTAAAAAAATAATATTGAAATTTTAAATTACGATTTTATTTCAAAATGTTAGGAAGTTGATGAAATTGTACATCAAGCTAATATTATTTTCAACAGTTTTTTGTTTTAAATTTCATCTCTATTCTAGAAACAAGTCCGAAATAAGAATTGAATTACAAATGTTGTATTATTTATTTCAGCATGAAACTTGTATATCGATTATACAGATTCAGAAATAACTTATTAAAAAAATTAATTGATGATGTGTTTGAAATATGTATCCCAAGGCAACCACTCACTCAGTTAGACAAGTATAATGAACTATTTCAGTTGATAAAATATAGATTCTTTTTAGTAATATAATTTTTTTTTATCACATTTAAAATTATTGAATGGTTAGTTTTCCAATTTTATTTATAAGTATATCAATGGGCTTCTAGCCCAATGGTATAAACTCCCCATCCTCGAAGAGAAGGGGAGGGGTTCGAGGCCTGCGTGGGCAAAATGTGTGTGAGTACTTGCCTTATCAAAAAAAAAAAAAAATCTATTATAAAAAATTTATATGTATATTAGAAAAGGTCATAGGAGATGCTGCCCAGACACACAGATTGTAAATAGCCCCTTAGAGACAGAAAAACACTATGCTTGCATACCTTTTAAAACTCTACAAAAGAAAAAAGTATATTAGAAAATCGTTCAAAAGGGGAACGTGTCCCTAATACAAGAAGAAAAAAGACCTAAGGACCAATAGCATCCAAAAGATCAAAGAAATCATCAATCGAGGAGCATGCACTTCCTCTTACATACCAGAGCTTCCTCTTACGTAACAGAACAGAGAACGAAGAATATGAATTTTTCAGATTTGCTAAAGACTCTTCTTTTCCTTCAAAGTTTCTGTTATTCCTCTCACGCCATAGACACCACCAAATACAATGTGGAACAATCCTCTAATAATCACTAGCATGTTCTTTAACAGTACATCGTCTCCATGTGTTGATCAATTGTGAGGAGTGCTTATGCATTACCCAATAAACGCCAAACATGCTAAAAATAAAACTCCAACAATCGTACGACACAGGATAGTGCGAAAGGATATGATCCACGGATTCATCTTTTGCTTTACATAAACAACACCAATTGACAATGATGTTGCCCCTCTTTCTCAAGTTGTCCAATGTCAAAATCTTTCCTAATGTGGCAGTCCAAACGAAGAAAGCGATTCTAAGAGGAGCTTTAGCATGCCAAACAGACTTCCATGGGAAGTCGTGACCAATGAAGTTGGACAAACACAAGAACATGGATCGGACACCATACCTACCATGAACTAAAGGAACCTACAGAATATCTTCACATCCTTTGCCAACATCCATTTGTCTATACAACATATCCAAAAAAACACAAGCTTCCTCCATTTCCTAGTCCTGAAAGTGGCGCCTAAAACGCACATCCCACGTAACTCCACTGTTATCAAGTTGATAACAATCAATTACGTAGACATGCTTATTGTCTGCAATACTGTAAAGTCTAGGAAAGGAGTGAGAAAGCAGCTGATCTCCGCACCAAAGGTCCTCCCAAAAACGGGCATGTCTACCATCACGAACTTTGAATCTAATGTGTGAGGAGAAAACATCCCAGCCCTTCCGAATGAATTTTCACACACCAACGCCTCCCGTAATAGTGACTGGGAAAGAGGACTAGCTCCCACTCTCCTCACCAAAGCGACACGAGACAACACTTCTCTATCGACGAAGGCGTTCCTTTCCAAATCTCCATAACCACTTTCACAAGAGAGCTCAATTAAAAGGGACTAGCTTTCGAATGCCTAACCCGCCTAATTTCAACGGTTGGCAGACTTGTTCCCAATTAACGAGATGATACTTGAACACCTCTCCCCTTTCACCCTATAGAAAATCCCTTTGAATTTTTTCAATCCTTTCAGCAATAGAGCATGGAATTTGAAAAAAAAATAAAAAGTAGGTAGGAAGGGACGAGAGAGCTCCCCCCCCCCCCCCCCCCCCCCAAAACAAGAAAGATACTGTTTTTTCCATCCTGCTAATCTCTTCTCATAACTATTAATCACTGGGTCCCAATTCCCAACTCGTGTAGAGGAAACTCTCAAAGGCAATCCTAAGTAAGGAAGAGGACAAACGCCCACTCCACACCCAAGGACAGCATCTGGAACATCCCCCCACTGGAACAACACACTCTTTCCAACATAAATCTTTAGTCCAAAAACCGCTTGGAACCAAGCAAGAATGCACCTCAGATATCTGAGTTGAGAGACTTCGGCATCACAAAAAACCAAAGTGTCATTCGCGAACAACAAATGGGAGATCTGCATCTGATGTTCAACATCTCTGCCAACTCTGAACCCCCTGATGTAACCCAAATCTTCCGCTTTTCTCATTAATCTGCTCAGTCCCTCCATGGCAATAAGGAAAAAGAAAGAGGATAATGGGTCTCCTTGTCTCTGACCACGCGAGCTAGCAAAAAAACCCACAGGGGAACCATTCACGAGCACAGAGAACATAACAGACGAGATACAAGTTTCAATCCATTTTATCCACCTGTCTCCAAACCCAATCCTCCGAAGTAGATACAGAACAAACTTACAATTAACGTGATCATAGGCTATCTCAATATCAAGCTTACATAAAACGTTTGGAACCCCACTTTTCAATCTAGAGTCAACACATTCCCCTGCGATAAGAATAGAATCCAAAATCTGCCGTCCACCAACAAAAGCATTCTGTGATTCTGAAATAAGACCATCCAAAACATTACTCATCCTGGAGACAAGAACCTTGGCAATAAGCTTATACAAACATCCTATTAAGCTAATTGGCTGAAAGTCCTTAATATATATATATATATATATATATATATATATTCTCTCTCTCTCTCCCTCCCTCTCTCTCTCTCTCTCTATATATATATATATAGAGAGAGAGAGAGAGAGAAAGAATATAATATAGATTAACAAAAAAAAATCTATATGGATAATTGAAAATTTAAAAACAAAGATAAAGATTGAAACATAGAGAGGCTGTCCAAGTCAGTATCAATGTGGATGTGTCTTTACACCCTTTTTACTCTCTCTCTCTATACATATGTATTTAAGAGTTCGTCTAAGGCACTTTAGTTATTACTTAATTTTTGGGCATTGCATGTAGTAGTGGACAATAATTTTTGTTATTACTTATTGGGCCTATATGCGTGGCCTTTGTTAGGTTTTTGATTGCCAGCAACAGGAATTGATTGCTACCCTTCTGTTTTGGTGCCATGACAGCACTTTCGCCACAGTACTTGAAAGTTTTGGCTTGTCCTATGTAGTTAAATTATTTTATGTACTCTCATCTCCTTAATAAAGTTCAGTGCAAAAGTTTTTAAATGGTTTTAGAAGGTTCAAGGTTTGTGTATGTGAACCTGACCGTAGGCGGTACAATTGGGTTTCGGCAGAGTTTTATTTTCAGTTTCTTTTGATCAACTTTAATCATCTTAAAGTAACAATTAGATCTTATTCTCTTTTTTCTTTTCATCCGTAACTCCATATCCTAGAACCCTTGTGGCCTTACCCACCCGAGACCATAGATAGTCATTGCTCATAAATTTTTATCAACATCTCACATTTTAATCCAAGCCTATTTGAACCCTTACCATTTATAAAGCCTCCAATCTTTTTGCTAACTTCCAAAATCCTAACCACAAGAAGCTATTTTTCTCTCTTATAGCTAACCCTACCAATTACCACTATCCATGCTGCCAAGACTCCAGTTCCTTTTCTCTATTATACTTCTAGCAAGCTACTTTCTTGATTCAGTGAGTTGCTAGCTATGTTTCAGTAGCTAATTGTATTCCCATGTGTAAAATCTAAGGTTTGATCTTTCTAGTGCTAGACCTTCCTGCTTAGCTAGCGACCTTTTCTGAACAGAGAATTGGCCTATACTGGAAACTTGGCAGTAAGGTTAAACTTTCTGCATGATTTGTGTCTTTTTGCTATATAATTAACAACTTTTATGGTGTTAATGATATGATATGCTTTTCTGTAAAATATTATGACACCATGCTGATCTGGTGCTCTGAATCGTGTTCCTCATAAATAGATTAAAGTGGATTGCAAGTCAGTTATGTGTTTGAGAAATGAATAAGAAACATATATAAATAAATATATATTTTTTTATGTGCAGTTATTTTACATGATGAATGACATTGTGGCAGCTGTTTGTGCTTGTTTGAAAGAGAAGATCTTTCATATCCCAAATCTCAAGTGGCAGCATAATGATTTTGCAGTTCATGTCAGAGGGCTGCAGCAGCCCAAAAGATGTGATAACATGAAGCACTTTTCTCACCTTTGCTTTTGAACATTCATTGAATCAACTTCTATGACGTAGCCTTTGGACTTGCTTCATTATATGGCTTTACTATCTGGAACACTGTTGCTTTGTATTTCTAAGTTGGTCCAGCTAGTTAGCTTCATTATTAAGTATTTAAGGATGTTTGGTTGTTTGCTGGATATGAGCTTTATATTCCTTTCTTAAAGAATTGCATTGCTTTTGAGAGAACCTGGTATATTTTGTCTTTTTTTGTTGTTTTGTGCAAATTTTGAGGATTTAGTATGCTTGCAGGAGGAAGTAGTAGTGGCTGCCCAGAAAACTCAGGTGCTGCTGGGACTTTTTATGATGTTGTTCCCCGGACCCTTATCGTTAGCAATAACAACATGTCAACAGATACTGACACACTACTATTGGAGTTCCCTAATCAACCTCTTATGACAAATGTTTATATCAGAAATCATGCCAAAGCTACTGTTCCTTTGCTTTGGAGTCGTGTCCAGGTTTGTGAAATGTGTATCCTTATTTTTCACCTCTATTTTATGGAGGAAAATTATGCATTTCAGTTCATGGATGTGTGTTTAGGTTTCTCCCTGTGAATCACAGGGCGAAGTAAAAATTCTATATTACATAGCATGTCCATGTGGTAATATGGCTTCTGTAGCATTATAACATATGAAAATATTAGGATGCGTATCTTTGAACATCTTGCAAGACAAGGAACACCTTCCTGATCATCTTTTGTCAGGCCAGGCATGTCTGTTTGCACGTGTTGGACCCATTTCCCCCGAGTTAATACGCTGCACCTTTTACTCAATTACTTTCTTCTTTATCTTTGCCTCATGTATTTATTTTTGGGTGGGTGCAAATAATATAATATCAAACAGAGCTGTATGAGTAACAATAATTCCCAGATTCCATGAGCATGACCTTTTAGCTTGAGGCAGTGTATCCAAATACCATATCCTCTTTCCTTCGATGCGGGGGTGTATACCGGCAAGTCTATAAGCTACTAGCTTCTCTTTTCACTTTTACAGTGGAAGATGCACTTCTAATACTCAAAGAGGCTCCAATTGGATGCCACCTCGAAGCACCTATTAAAACCTATTCCTCCCTCGGTGACACTTGCTTTGCAGTTTTAGAGTATAGATATATCCTTGTTTTTCCCCTGGAGATAGATTTATGTTGCATGTATCTAATTTAGCCTTCTCTCTTGATCATCATTCAGGTCCAAGGAGAAATTAGTCTCTTGTCTCATGGTGTGTTGAGCTTTGGTTTAGCACATTACGCTTTATCAGAATTTGAGTTACTAGCAGAAGAGCTGTTAATGAGTGAATCTGTAATTAAGGTAATGACCATTTTATACATATCCCTGTATAATTCGTCCCTTCGTTATTTGTTGAACTCTATATATAACCTTTCTATGCAGTTTACCTTTTGTAGATTCTCTTATATAGTTTAATTTATTTATGTGGGTAGATTGAACAACTCTGTAAAAATGCTTCTTATAGATTTTGCAAAACAATTAACTAAAACACATGATTAGGGTAATTATTGGTATAATTGATCTACTAAATGAGTCAGAGAGTTGCACATGTAAAATATCCTTTGAGTTTGCATATTATTGTTAGATGTTAATGGGAGATATTTTGCTTTTGGCTGATTGTAGCTTAGTCAATTATTAAGTTCAATTTTTATCCAGTTTAAGCAAACAATCAATCATGCAACGAATAAAGCAGTAAAGAAAGGAACCAAAACTTTACATGGAAAATCCAAATAGGAAAAATCACGGAGCTTGTATAGCTAATGTATCTTTTCTATCATTTTCGTCATGTTCCTTTTCTGTCTTTAAATGTTATAGAAATCTTAAAAGCCTTTTTATTGTTCTTGGTAACTCTTCTCCATGTTGGAAAACAATTTGGAAACCTTTTGGAGTTGAAATTTTTCTGGAGTCGGTAACTTCAATTTTCACAAATGGACATTAAATGCATTGGTGCATAACTTAGTAGAAGAGAAGTTTTTGAATACTATGAAACACTTCAAAAACCAAATAAAATTACGTTTTTGATCTTTTATCAACCTTATAAAAACTATTGTTGTATCCTAGAGTGTGTGTGATTATATCATTCTCATTTTTGATTGAAGAACCTTTGCAATCACAGCCCTTTCTTCTTTGAACTTTGACGATCTTTGACTCCAGGTCTTTGAACATCTCCAATGGTAAACCAAGACAACTCTTTGACCAAAACTATCAATAAAATAGGAATTATTACAACTTAGGTCATTGTTTATGATACAGGATTTGCCGACATCATGACACTAATTCCTGACAGGTTGTCCGTAATCGAGTCCTGACCTTTTTATTTATATACTTTTTTTCTGCGACTTGATCAAATGTGCGTGTTTTCTGAATTGTATTGGTTGTAGTCTATATGAGAGGGAACCCAACCCACTATTAACAAGTTGAAAGTTGAAGATTAGTGAGTAATGGGAGGAGTCACTTAGGCTACGTTTGATATGCAGGAATGGAATGGAATGCAACTTGGAATGGAATGAGAATGAGAATGGAATGGAATGAGTGTTACCATTCTAATGTTTGGTGTGACACGGTGAAACGTTATGGAATGGAATGATTATTACCATTCTATTGTTTGGTTGACTATCATTAAATCTGGAATGGAATGATTTTTTTCAAAAATACCCTTATCATTACTTTAATAAAATCAATCTAATTAATATTGTGTTAGTATAATTTTATCCAAAAACGGGTTGAATACTTAACGTAAGAAGCTGATGTAAAGGCTAATATATATTATAATATATATTAGCCTTTACATCAGCTTCTTAGGTTATATATAATATGGTTGAAGGTTCTGCAACTTTTTGTCAATGGTAGCTCTGGGTATATTCAGAAGAGAGGGAAGGTGAAAAACCTTTACCACGTCTAATAAAGAAGCTCGAGAAATGTGAAAAATGGAATGTGAAAGATTTTTGGTCTATGCGAAATATTTTTGCCTTATTGGAATGTGATGAAGGGCTTATTGGGAATATTACAAAAATATTTAATCTTACCATGGAATGGAATGGCCATTCCATAGGTTTAGTAATGGAATAGATTTTTATTCCCTGGAATGGATTTTCATTCCATTGGGAATGGTCATTCCATTCTATTCCTGCACACCAAACAAATGAATGGTTGGAATGGGCATTTCATTCCATTCCATTCCTGCACACCAAACGTAGCATTATGGAATGTTGTCAACTATATCAATGCATATTCCAGATGATGATTAGGATTAGGCTACACCACTACATGAATCTTTTTTCACCATTCTGCAAAGCCTCTTCCAAACTAACGACAGATGGCTGCATGAATTCTGTTTCAGTAATTCATTTTGTATGAGATCATAACCTTTAGATATATGACATGTTAATATATCTTTTAATGTAATATTATTAATTCAAATAAATAGAATGACCTAAATAACTACCACAAGTCCATAGCCATTAGTTATCAAATAGTATATTGAGAATAGTTATTTACAAGCAAATATTGTGAAAGAAATCTAATCATTGATTAACCAATGAACAGTAATTAGAATAGTGGAACTACCCCTCAATATTTAACATAGGTTTAACAGAATGCATTTATGATGGAAATTTTAAAGTCTATTAATTGCTTGCTTTCTCGTGCTCTTTCGAATTATTCCCTCATTTGCTTTCTGATCCTCGTAAAGTTTTTGTTGGAACACTGTCACTGTTCCGTTTGTGCACACGGCTAAGTCAAAAGTAATCACGAGACGTGATTTTATATCTGCTTATTTTCACCACTCTAGCAATCCCCATACTGATATTGCATCATGTTTCTGATTGGTGTGATGCACTATGACATTTGATGCTTCTTGTTCCCCAAACTATTTATGATGTTTTTAATTTCATAATATGTATATATATTTTTTATAAGTTTCATAATATGTGTACTTGAATCTGAGCTCAATGATTTTAGGTTTATGGAGCTCTACGGATGTCTGTAAAAATGTTTTTGATGTGGAATTCCACGATGCTTATAGATGGTGGTGGAGATGCAAATGTTGAGACTTCCTTGCTTGAAGCTAGCAATCTAGTAGTTCTCAAGGTGTTCTACCAATCTTATTTTTGCCATTTTCTATAGTAGTATGTTCCTCATGAGGCAGTTATATATGGTTTGCTTTTCTATTTGTATTTATCAGGAATCATCTGTCATACAATCCAATGCAAATTTGGGAGTTAACGGACAAGGTTTATTAAATTTATCTGGACCAGGAGATTGTATTCAAGCACAACGTCTGGTTTTATCACTGTTTTACAGCATCCATGTAAGCAAATATCTCACTATAAGTGTTAATTATATAGATTTCTTTCAAGGTTCAGAAACATAAGTTTACTGGTAATTTAGCAATTCAATCTAATTATTTTTTCCAAAGCCAAGGTGATTGGTTATCGGTGTGTTCTTTATTATTATTATTTTTATCCTTTTTGTATTAGTGCATGTACATACTATCCAGGTTCTAACTTTCTTGTTTAAGCTGAAAAAGAGGCCTTTGTGTGAAATTTATTAGAAGTTTCTTATTAATCTGTTCCAATCTCTTTTGCAACCCTGCCATGAACTTAACCATTTGCAATATTAGACCTGACATTGCATTCTATTGCTCCAAATCCTTTTCAAGTCTTTGCGTACGAAAAATATAACATGTATAATTGCTTAGCCTGTTTTAAAATCTACATGGGAATTGATTGACAATTTTAGATTGCTCATATTGTTAATTATGTTTTACATCCTTCGCTCTAGGAACATTATTACGTGTCTGTATGGATCATATCAGATTTTAAATCAGTTCCACATGAAACTGATGATGCCTTCTTAACTTTATTGTTGAGGACATTCAACTTTCAAAAAGATTAGTTGAGTTTGGTGATGGCTGCAAGATCTGGGTCTCTCTCTCTCTCTCGCTGAAGTATGGTTTAATAATGAGCTTTGTTTCTTTGGCTCTAGCATATATTAAAGTTGGTTTCTTTCCATTAATTGGTCGTCCAGGGGATTGAAAAATTTATGATATACTATGCGTTACCTTTGATTTCTAGCTTTGAATTCATGAACTATGTTTGGTTTGTCACTCCACGAGTATTTGCAAATTGAACTGATTCTGATTCAAACATGTGTTGGTGGTTCACTGAATCAGTTGTTTGGCAGGATGATCAACTAGATGCATTAGCGTCTTAAATTTTTGGTTGGTTAGTTTTTTCCTTTTATGTTGCTATTCCTCTTGTTTTATGATCACGCAACTCTCATTTTAAACACAGTAGCTAACTAATTGAGCAGGCCTTGCAAATTCTTTTCTTGTTTTTGTTTTTCCAATATGGTGCATTGTTGAAGTATACTTGGCTCTATTTCTTCTCTTTTTATCTTTTTTTATTTTTTATTTTTCTTTCTTTATATAGAGTCAGTTAATAACATAGTATCTTTGGCCTGCTTTGGTCAAGCAGGTTGATTAATCCTTGGTTTTACACGCTCTCTTTTATTCTCATTTACATTTTGTTTGTGTCATTTGTACATTTTGCAGTAAGCTTGACTCTTTTTCTTCTCTTTCCAGTTTTCATCTTATATGTGTCTGGATATAATCATCCTCAACCTGCTCTCTCTCTCTCTCATTCTCTCACTCTGTAAAAACATGACTTGCTCTCTCCAAATTTTCTCTAATCATTGCTTTCCTGACCCATCACAGCTATAAATTTAGAGCATTTATCTTCTTGTCCTCTTAAAATAGGATTTTTCTTCATGGTAACAATTAATAAAACTCTAATATCTTTTCCATAACCATTTTGTCATCTGATGAGTTGTCTCTCTGAATGTCTGCTGCTGCAACAGCTGCTGATCCAATTTTACTTTCCATGATCTGATTCCTTTCAGGGTGTGACCAAATGTATGCATCTAATCTGCTGTGAGCTAAACCGTATCTTTAATTTTATTTGTTTTGGTTGCTGAAATAGCAAGCAGAAGAAGAACAATTGACTGACTTGTGGACTGACTGCATCTAAATCCAGTGCCGGAATATGTTCCATGACCTGGATCTTAGGTCTAATCACTAATGCGATCAATGTTTCCCTGGATAAAGACCTTCATTTGCCCATTTTCACTCTTTAGACATTTCAAGGGCCTTTCACGTTGCTCATTAGTGATCTTTTAATATAAAGTCTAAGCTTGCTGTCATCTTGATATTATATTATATTTTTATCTTGTGGCAGTAGCAAGTAATGATGCTTGATGCTTTTGTCTACCCCTCATGGACTTATATTATCGTCAAACAGATTTGTGTAAATGGCAAATTGTTTGAAAATTTGTTTCAAATCATCCTTGAGTTTGTAAGATATACATGATGAATACTTTAGTGGTATAACTTGTTTTATACAGGACACGATTTATTGCTATTAAATGAATATAATTTTTTTTTTGGGGCCTTCTACATGAAGGTTGGACCTGGATCTGTTTTACGTGGTCCTCTAAAGAATGCACCAGCTGATGCTGTGTAAGTTTGGATTTTGCTGTACCATCTTTTGATAAGATTCCTTTAAGTGGCTCCCTTTCGATTTTGCTAAAATATTCATATTTGATGCATTATAGGACACCAAGGCTAAACTGTGAACTTCAGGACTGCCCTATTGAACTACTTCATCCGCCTGAAGATTGCAATGTGAACTCTTCGCTGTCCTTTACTCTCCAGGTGTTTAATTAGTAAAGTTGCATAGTAATAGGATAGCTAATTATTTATTTAGGTTTATTTAAATTTTCTTATTCATTTCCATATTCAGGTATGCCGAGTGGAGGATGTCCTAGTTGAAGGCCTTATTGAAGGATCTGTTGTTCATTTCCATAGAGCGAGAACTATAGCTGTCCTGTCTTTTGGAACAATTAGCACTTCTGGCATGGGTATACGTTCTTTTTTACTTCACCTTGAGTTCTTATAGGATGATGATTTATTGGCAAAATCTGCTCGAGTACAGTGAGTCTTAGCTGGTCCAAAAAGTTCTGCCTTGAAGGAATATAAATCCTGTCTTCAAGCAAAAGAGAACGATTTTTAGCATCATGGTTCATATGGTAGTTGAACAGTATACCAGATGATATTATAATTCAACTATGGTGTTTGAACAGGCTGCAAAGGTGGTGTTGGCCAAGGAAAAGTTTTAAGCAATGGTATCGGTAGTGGTGGTGGGCATGGTGGTAAAGGTGGAGTAGGGTGCTATAATGGAAGCTGCATTGACGGTGGTATTTCTTACGGAGATGCTGATTTGCCTTGTGAACTTGGTAGTGGAAGTGGAAATGACAGCTTAGCTGGTTCAACTGCCGGTGGTGGTGTTATAGGTAAGCTTAAGATGGGTCAATTGAACAAGTTATGCCATTCTTTTCCTTTCTAATGTTGGAACACGTGACGATTTATGTCTATGTATCTATATATATAGATATTGCAGTCAATGAAAACTCTCATGGACATGAGATTATTTAGTTATTTATTTGTGAGTTCATGTTGGGTTGTAGTGTTTAGAAGTGGGTGTTAAAATTTTCCTTTTTTCACTAATTAAGGAAATTTACTGAATTGGATGGCAAAAGATGTACCAAGAAATACCATTGGGCTAGAGGCCCTTTGGTGCAACCTGCAAGCTCTTTACTTTGTTTAAATACATTAGTACTTGCTCAATGTGTTGGGGTTTTCTAGAATCACAACTCAGTTTAGGTTGGTTTTGTTTAGTTCCGAGGAATGAAACTGAAGCAATACTTCATTGTCAAAAATTTGACCAGAGCCGAACTGACTGAATTGGCCCAACCTGGCAAAATGCCAGGTTAGTTCAGTTTGCATTTTTGGTTTAGGTATATGGTGAATGTATTTCAGATTCTGTGCAGTGAGAAGAAAGTTAGGTCCCTATCTTGGGGTTCAACTTTGAATCTCTAGTTTTTTAAAAAATAATAATAAATAAATCTAGAACTGCAGTAGGGATCTTGAATCTCCAAGAAAATTTAATCTAGAGCAAATAATATCAAAGAATAACTGAAAAGGGAACGACCATTTTTGCTCAGTATCCAATCATACATAAAGATGGGAAATTAGAAAAAATTGGGAAGGAGAACAAGAGGACTATACGCATACCTGAAGGAAAACAATTTGTTACAGAAAAAGTAAAGAGAAACAAAAATAAAACATGGCCTCTCTCAACCCTAACTTACTGAGTTGTTTTAGGTTCTGTCATGAGTTTCCATATGAGTAGAAGGGCCAGCCTTTAACCTTAAGGAGTAGAACAGTTGGCTGTAGGACTATGCTTGAGAGACGAACGTCTTGGGTTCGACTTCCCCTCCCTTCGGGCTAGTCTCACAAGATTTTCCTGGACTAACCTAGTTGTTTGGGTTATGAGGTATACTTCAAGGGAATTAGTCCCTACCCGAATGGTGGGGATACCATTCTTGTCAGAGACAAAAAGGAAAAGAGAAAGAGAGAGTAACTTGCCCTCCCCATTTGAGCTAAGACATTTAAGATTTATGCTCTACTATTTCTACTTATATCGTGATGTTTCTGCTTATCATTTTTGAGTTTATATGTATTTCATGTTACAAAGATAGATCTTATCATTTGTTGTTTATTGTTAATGAAACCCCTTCCGAGTATCCAGCCATCCATTATCTATTTATTAGAAATCATACAAAATCTGTCAAATTATATGAACTAGATGGATCAAAGAATCACTAATTGACTTTTGTATCAAGTCATTTTGTTGGGCAATCACCTAAACTATTTCCTGGGTGACAGACTGGTTCATCGCTAGGTGGGCAGTTTGACTACTAGTATATATTCATCGTTATCTCTTTCACTTTCATTTTATGTTAGTTGAGTTCCGTCTTCCAAAATTTTACTGCCATGTCAGATATGATAATGATTCTATGTTCTAATTTCTGCTTGAATTTTTTGTCACATTCATGGACACGATTACTTCATCTTTTACTAAAGTTTGTGCCTGAGGTGACAAAATAATTTTTAAGTGATAAAATGATGAGTTTGTAGTTTCTTTCGTATATAATATATTTGAAGGTCATCTGTGCAAATAGTTTCAAAGTTCTTGGCACTGACATTTATATTTTATTTTGCTTTGTTTTATTTTATTTATGCATTGTCTTTTTCTATGTAGTAATGGGTTCGTGGGAGCATCCCTTGTCAACTTTGTCTCTTGAAGGTTCTGTTAGCGCTAATGGAGAAAGTTTTGGAGAAAAATTTGGGAATAAGGATCATATTGTCATAGATGATCAAACTGGAGGTCCTGGTGGTGGATCTGGTGGAACTATTCTTTTGTTTCTGAGTGCACTGGCTCTCGGCGAGTTAGGAACTCTTTCGAGCATTGGGGGCCGTGCTAGTCCAAATGGTGGTGGTGGAGGAGGTGGTGGAAGGATTCATTTTCATTGGTCAGATATTCCCACTGGAGACATCTACCAGCCAATAGCTATTGTGGAGGGAAGCATCCGTCTTAGGTTTGCACAAACCTGATTTTCAATACGTATTATACATTTTGGAAAAGTCCTTCATTAATTTCTGTTGGTTTCTTTATGTCCATGAACTTCCTCTCTCCATTGTTTTGGATTAAGTTGCTTCAGGAAATGGTCAGTGACAAATTTGATGTTGAAGTGGTCAGCTGGTTCAATTTAGCTTATCTGCTAAAAGATGAAATGAGGCATATTGGAATCTTAAGAGGAAAAGTGATGAAATTTGCATGTATATTTTTAAGCTTTCTTCCTTTAAGTGAAACTGAAATGGTGGACTATAGGATTTGTGATTTCTGAACCCAAGTAGTTGGGATAGTGCAGTGTTTTGTTGATTGATTAAATAAATGTTATAAAAAAAATTCAGACTGGGTCTTTTCAAGAAGTCAACCTTACTTTTTCCCCATCCATCTTTTTCACATTTCCCATGTTTTACTACATATTAGGACAATCGAATTCTATACGATCCTTGGTGTTGCAAGCGTTAATTTTTTTGAACATCTCTTAAATACATTAAGCCTGAAATTTAAACCAAGACTTAGTCCAAATTTCAATCTTGGAAATTCCTTAAGTTTAAGGTTCATATGCATAGTATCCACTGCTGAAAGACAAAATTACCCATCTGAGCTCTTTTTTTTTTTTTGATAAGTAAGAATTTATTAAAAACGCTCAAAAGGGGAGCGAAGCCCAAATAAAACAAAAAGGGCCAAAAGGCGCCTTGAACCTTCAGAGAGGCCAAGAAAACAATGATTTCCTCCATAGATCTAAAATCTCTCCCTGAAACCCAACAAAAAAGAGTAGAAATAACAGAGAACTTAAGCATAAAAACAGGCTTCTTTTTCCCGTCAAAATATCTCCTATTTCTCTCAAGCCAAATACACCACGAGATACAAAGCGGCGTAGCCCTCCAAGCATCCTTAACACCAGCCCCAACAGAGACGCCTCTCCAAGCTTCAATTAACCCTCTAGAGGAATAGGGCATGGCCCAATGGACCCCAAATAAACGAAGCATCAAATCCCAGCAGTCTCCGGCCATACTGCAATGTAAAAGGACGTGATCAACTGATTCCTCATTACACAAGCACATATAACAATGATTGACCACCACCTGATTCCTCCTCCTCAAATTGTCCTGGGTTAAAATCTTAGCCAGGACAGAGGTCCAAGCAAAAAAGGCGACCTTGCGGGGAGCCTTAGAACGCCAAATAGACTTCTAGGGGAAGAGTTCAGCTTGACCATCCGAAAGACATCTAAAAAAGGACCTAACCTCAAACCGGCCTTGCGAGTTGGGAATCCATAGCCATCCATCTGGCTCCCCAAAAGAAATCACCTCCACAAACTCCATCCCACCTGAGCTCTTTTTCTATGGCAATAACATATAACTGCAGGGAGTTTCTAAATCTGCATCTTCTTTTTAATCCTTATTTTCTAGAAGGTATGGCTTTGCCAACGATCCTTCTTTAAACTTTCAGCATTTCAAAAGCTATGGTTGAGAAGGTGTTCATGTGGGTTAATGGGTGGAGAAAAGCATCTCTTTCTTGGGGATAGAGTCATGCTTATCTTAGTTTGTTTGCCCAACACTCCTTTTGTTTCTAGTGTACCTTCTACATTTCTACACTTGAATTCAAAGGAAGTTTTCTTGCTCTGGAACGATTTATGCATGTATTTCCTTTTTCTTTCTTTCTTTCTTCTCCCCCTCCCTTGATAACAAACCCTCTCAACATGTGCCCTCAACCCCATTAAGTACGTTTCCTATATATATCATATACTCAGTGTCAAAACCCAATGTATATCAAGTACTATCCCCCAATACATCATATACACAATATTGAAACCCAATATATATGTTTAAAGTTTAAATTCTTACTTATCACAAAAGGGGAGGGGGGGGGGGGGGGGGGGGGGGCGGGAGGGGAACCAATATACATATATGCATGTGGATCTTCATATTATTCTATGTTTTGCCATTACCTTGGTTTTGTTTAATTGTTCATTATTATCCATATATCTAATGCAGTTATTTTATTATATTTAATACAATGAAGTCTATAATTTGATTTAATTTTTTCCACACGACAAGGCCACATTCCATTATGTGCCTGTTATGAATTTTCTTGGTTTAGCTTTTATTAAATTGATATGTAATACTAGATTAAGGGAAAATATCTTATTGTCTGTGACCTTTTCTAAATTAATTCCTTTGTGTTTTTTATTCATTTATATTCTTGATCCTATGAGCTTGTGAATTTTTGGCTTGTTTAGATGTGTTTTACTTTATTTGTATTGTGTCATGTTCGTTAAAAGGTCGTTGGGCACAACTTTGTTAGCAAATCTTTGATCTTATTGTTTCGTTTTTGTATTAATTTGTGTTCTACTCAGACAAAAAATATGATAAAGTTACTGTTTTGTGTATTTTTGTACATACCTTATATATATATTTTTAATGTAGTTAAAGGATTGTGAAATGCTTTTGATTTACAAATGATCTTCTCTTATATTTTCTTTACATAAAAAATGTTTGTTAAGACTTCTATTGTTAAGAAAAATATATATCACTGTTTTAAATATTTTTTTCTAAAAAAGAGATTCATACAGCAAGTTGGACACCCTGAAGGAAAATTCCTGGGCCATCCCCTGGTGTAATGGGAGACTATTTCTTGTTGTGGGGTTGAAAGTTGTTTGGGATTAGCTAATGTGATCTTGAGGAGCAGTTACCCCCATGGGAAATGGCTTTAAAGTATTTAGAGAACAAGTGCACTATGGCACTTGCTTAAAGGTAAGTTCAATTTTCAAGAAAGCAGGTGGGATTGGCTCTATTCTGGTAAATCATTGCTGTCTTGGAAAAACATTTCAATTCTTTTTTCTATCAGTACATTGTTGGAAATGAATCTAGAATTTGTCTTGAGAAAACTTTTGGCGTGGAGAGTGTCCTTTTAAAGTATGCATGTAAGCTGAAGTCTTGAAGACGACTTTCTGATTAATATGGCTATGGGTACAGGAAATTACTTTAACTTAGGAGTTAGTACTCAAAACTAACACATATCAAACTCATCAAACCTCTCTAACCAACTGAACAAGAGCTCATTTGTCACAAAGTTGTGGTAATTCTTTCAGAAATACCTGGTTTTAGCTTTAAATTTCATTAATTTGGTTTTCCATTTCTGCATTTGTTGCCTTCTTGTTAGACCCAGAACTTGATTCATATTATTTTGTCTTGCTTCTAATCGGGTTGTTTTGTTCCTATCTTGGCCCTTTTTTACTTATAATTATGTTTTACTTTATTTAATATTGAATTTGACTAGCATTTCATCTGAAGAATGTGTTAAAATATAGAAAAGATGAATTCTTTTAAATTAAAATTGCACGCAAATGAAATGTGTCAAGGATTATCTTCTTCTGTTTAACTTTTTTAGTGGACCACCAAAATGTCACTGCAGATGCCAAAAGACCTGTTAAGCATATTAAACAAAGGGCCCAATAAATATCTTTGGACTTCATTTTATCACATTTGTTAAGGATGGTCAAATAATTATGATTGGAAATCCTCGGTTAATCTCCTGCTAATGCAAATTGTCTCTAGAGAGACTAGCACATCCCATACATCCCAAAAAAGTCATTTCTGCTATCATTAGCTCTTTCAAAATATACATGTACCGTCTCTTCAGAAAAGGCCATTACCTTATGTTAGAGTTGATTTGAAGTACTGGAAGGGATAGACTGGGTGCAGATGTTACCTCTAGATTTATTCTCAAATTGGTGGCCCTCGGACTCAAATATGCATTCTAATACCTGATAACCAAAGTTTTCATTATTGCACCAACTACCAGCAAGGACCTTTGAGATATAAGATGTTTTGCTTTTACTAAATTATATGAGGCATTATCATTCATAATGCTTCTAGCTTGTATTTTTATTTGTACCTTTTAAATTTTTTCATAGGCTAGCTTGTGCTTTCATTAACATAGCATGTTCATTTTATTCTCAAATTGGTTACCTTCCGACTCGAACTCGCATTCTTATGGTTGACAACCCAGGTTTTAATTATTGCACCAACTAACAGCAACAACCTTGGAAACATATTATGTTTTAATTTTATTAGATTATGATGCATTGTCATTCAATAATGCTTAGATTCTAGCTTTTTTGTTTATTACCAATATTTTCTGGTAACACCAGGGTGCTTTCTTCTGTTACTGTAGGGGAGGCCCAGGCGGAGACCATGGTGGTGGAGGGGAAAATGGGACAGTGACTGGCAAAGCTTGCCCAAAAGGACTTTATGGTGTATTTTGTGAGGTACACTTGGCAATTTATCTGCTACATCACATTTTCCATTTCTTTTAAGCTACTAAACCTTTTTTTTTTTTTTTTTTGGCAATCAATAGTCCTTAAGCTACTAGCAAATTTTATTCATTTAAATTCTAGCATGGTTCAGAAATTGAAATTACTTTAAGTTGGCTTAATTAAGAAGCATCTTTATGGCAGGGAGGAACCTAGGCAATACATATTCATGCAACATTGAGACTTATATTTGTCATATGAATTGTAGATTTATGAACTACTAAACAGTTATTCTAGTAATTCTTAGAAATATCAAATTTACTTTGTCGACATGCTAAATAACCTTCTTTCTAAAACGACAAATAAGTAAGCAAAGGAGGCTCTGCAGTTATGATGGTTGCTTCCAGGTCATTCTTTTTGTTATTATATATGTGTTTTTACATGCTCTGTATTTCTACAGGAGTGTCCAGCTGGCACTTATAAGAATGTTACTGGATCTGATAGAGCCCTCTGTCATCAATGTCCATCTTATGAGCTTCCCCATCGTGCTGTTTACATCGCCATACGAGGTAAAGTCATTGGCTTTTTAATGTTTATATTTCTTAAGATCTAAGAAATCTTTGTCCAATGCTATGCTCTCCTTGGTCATTGCAATCATTATGCAATTACATCTTGTATTCTTCGAATATTCATTTCTTATCAATGGTGCTGTATGCTTTTTTATTTTTTTATTTTCTACAGAACTTTTGTTTCATTTGACAGATGTAAAACCAATTTTATGTAAAAAATGCTGGTTTCTATAAACTCATATTAGATTGTTACATCCTTTTTAACAGGTGGTATTGCTGAAACTCCTTGTCCTTATGAATGCATTTCAGACAGATATCACATGCCACAGTGTTATACAGCTCTTGAAGAGTTGATATACACCTTTGGTGGGCCTTGGTTATTTGGGCTTTTTCTGTTGGGTCTCCTGATCTTGTTAACTCTAGTGCTCAGTGTTGCACGAATGAAATTCGTTAGTGTAGATGAATTACCAGGCCCGGCTCCTACACAACAGGGCTCTCAAATAGATCATTCATTCCCTTTCCTGGAATCATTGAATGAGGTATTTCACCAAACTTCCTTTCATTGCCAAAATTTTCTACAATATACTGGTTGTGTCAAAATTAAATTATCCAGTTTTATCTTAATATTATTTTTTTACTTTTTTTTTTGACATTGGAAGGTGAAAAAAGTATTTTTTATTTTCAGGTTTTGGAAACAAACAGAGTTGAGGAGTCACAGAGTCATGTGCATAGAATGTATTTTATGGGTCCTAATACGTTCAGTGAACCTTGGCATCTCCCCCACTCTCCTCCAGAACAAGTGAAAGAGATAGTGTATGTTCTTTTGTTTAATTTATTTGTTCTTTAATATTGATAGCTTCTCAAGTAGTGATTTGCCTTTCAATGGCAGCTTTGTAATTGTAACAAACAGCTTTTTTTATTGTGTGTTTTTTATAAGTTATTAGTTTTACTTGTTAATGATTTGTTACAGATTGTGATTTAAACTGTACCATTTGTAAATTGAATTGGCAGATACGAGGGCGCATTCAATAGATTTGTAGATGAGATTAATGCTATAGCAGCTTACCAGTGGTGGGAGGGATCAATGTACAGCATTCTTTCTATCCTTGCATATCCTCTCGCGTGGTCTTGGCAGCAATGGCGCCGGAGAATGAAGTTACAACGACTCCGTGAATTCGTGAGATCAGAATATGACCATTCTTGCTTGCGCTCTTGTCGCTCACGTGCTCTTTATGAAGGGATCAAGGTTTGTTTTTATGGAAATTTGAGTTGAATACGGTTTTTAACAGTCATGAATTTTATGCATGTCTTCATTGACCTTTTCTAGTAGTTCAGACGTTTGTGGCTCAGAATCGTTTTCATTGCATGATTTAAATATTGGTGCCAATTCATTCAAATGATTAATTTTTGTGGCTTAGCATCGTTTGTTTCACAGTTTAAATGTGGCTTAGCATCCTTTGTTTTCACACAGTTTAAATGGTTATGTCGCTAGTGATTGATTCTCTTTCAAATCATTAATTATTGAATTAAGAAGGTTAGGTCTATAAGCCCATCCATTGACTTACCTATGATATCTTAGACATAGATTTCAGAGATTCTTCTCCTGTACCTATCATTGACAATTTATAAGCTTTTGGCGAAAGTTATAGAATTATTCAGAACAGGTTCGTTTCCAGAGCTCAAGTTTATAGATATGTCTGTGTGAATGATTTTTAAATGTACAATAAGTATTGTATCATAATGTGTAATTATTACCGGTTAAGGGCTCAATTGTAAATTATCATGTATTAGTGCATTTTTTAAAGAATTGATTGATATTTTGTTATGAAATTTGTAAAAGAGTGTTCTTATAGGATTAACAAGAACCTTATTAGTACTTATTAGCCAAAAGTACTTATGTGGTTCAGTGGTTAGTAATGTGCTTCTACTTCCTGTAGTTCACAGGCTTGTGTCTCGTGAGCCACATATCAAACAATCTAACACAGACTTGTTTTATTTATTATCATTTATCTTTTACGGGCTTTGTCCTATTAATAGTATCAGTCCTCCAGCCTATTGAAACACCAACAACACATGCATTTTATTGCCACTAAAAAAAGGTTACTCAATCCACTAGTGCAACTGACTTAGAGGGTCTAGCGATCTCAAATGACAAAACAGCAAGATTGGGAGCACTAACCTTCCTAAGCAAATTAGGTGACCTAGGCTGTGAGTTCGAGGCTACTTCTCCTTTGTGGATTTTTCAGAAATCCTCACTTTCCCCAACCGACCCTCAAAGGCCTCCGGATAATTTTTATATATGTATATATATATATCAGAAAAAAGATGGAGATATGATGCACACACAGATGATTCATTTTGTTAGTGAAAATAGTTAAAGCAGTTCTACGTATGAGAAGTCCTAATTTATCATTGTCTTGGTGCATATTCTGCTACAAAATAAGGAACTTTAAAAAATTGCATATTTAGCATCACAAAACAGATGGTTCACTTGTCCTCTCTTCTGAGACAGCGTCCACAATTTTCCTGTCCCAGATTTGGAACTTCCAGTATTTTTTGTTTTAGATTTGCTGTCTTTACATGTTATATTTTTTGTCTGGCTATTACTGTGCTGTAATATTTTACATAATTCATAGTCAAATCGAATTGGATAGGGTTGTTTCTACTAATTGTCCTTACTGTTGAACTTCTTGTGCATTATTCTTTATTATCCATTTCCTTTCCTAGCTATTCAATGTTAATTTTTGGGCAAAGCATAACTTGTGTTCCAGTAAGCACTGACCCTTTTTTGGCAAGGGTGGAACTTCTAAAACTTGAAATTATTGGTCTGTATTACTGTAGGTGGCCGCAACATCTGATCTAATGCTAGCATATGTGGACTTTTTTCTTGGTGGGGATGAAAAGAGAACCGATCTTCCTCCTCGCCTTCATCAAAGATTTCCAATGTGTTTACTTTTTGGAGGTGATGGAAGTTACATGGCTCCTTTCTCCCTTCACAGTGATAATGTTGTCACTAGTCTTATGAGTCAGGTTTGTTATCTGTGACTAAGGAACCTCAAGTCATAAGTTATGGAAACAGAAGATCGTTCGGCTATAGCTCTATTTTACCTGTTATGTTCTGTAAAATTTTGCTTATTGTTATCCTTTTTCACTTTCAGGCTGTCCCACCTACCACTTGGTATCGATTTGTGGCTGGTTTGAATGCACAACTGCGCTTGGTACGTCGAGGACATCTCAGAGCAATGTTTAAGTCTGTTATTAGATGGCTCAACACTCACGCCAATCCTGCTCTGAAAATCCATGGTGTACGTGTTGATCTGGCCTGGTTTCAAGCTACATCATGTGGTTATTGTCAATATGGACTTCTGGTATATAACGCTGAAGAAGAATTTGAACGCGCAGCCTTTGGAAGTACTGATGGAGCAGTGCTAACTGAGCAGCAATCATGGTATTATTTAGTGATACATGCACATGTACATGCATGCGGATATACATGTATTAAACTAAGTACATATCTATCAGTATGCTTTTTAAGTTACACTAAAACATCTTGTGGGATTTAAAAAAGAAAAATTTGCCACGTTCTTCTTCCATGTTTTATTTCTTTTTCCAATTCGAGATTATCCATATTTTTCTTCCTTTCCCAATTTGAGCATCTAATTCTTGTCATCCCACCCCCAGCGCAAATGGTGTCCTACTATGATTGGCAGCAGGCATCATGTAAACATCAGAAATTAAGCAATACAGTAGTTTATATTCAATTACATTATATTGGATATTACATAGAAATGAAGAAATATAATTACTTACCAAAAGAAGAAAAAAGGAAATACAGTTACTTGTGATAGAATTAGAGTAGATGCTGGAGAATATATTAAATAAATAAAATGTACTCGCAAGTTGCCCTGGTGGAAGCTTGGCGGTTCCAGGAGGCCATGCACCATTTGTGTGCAACACTACTCAAATTAATTTCATTTCTATATATGTTTTGCAGTGTGAGCAGTATTTGTAGAGAAAATCCATTGGGTCATTTAACAGAAGAACCACTTTTAAGCCAAACCCGGAGAAGCATTGGAAATCTTTTGAGGCAGAAAAGGACATATGGTGGGATTTTAGATACTAACAGCTTGAAAATGCTGGAGGAGAAGAGAGATATATTCTATCCCCTCTCTTTTATGAGTCATAACACTAAGCCTGTTGGCCACCAGGTAACTCTCTCTCTCTCTCTCTTGTGAGTGTTTGTTTCTGGGTTTGTCAACACACGCACGTACACATTACATGCTGGGTACAATTATTATAAATTTTATCTGTTGCAAATTTATAATCTCCCTGTCTGAATTTATAATTATCACTTGCTGCAGGATCTTGTTGGTTTGGTCATCTCAATGCTACTTCTAGGAGACTTTAGCTTAGTTTTGCTAACTTTGCTCCAGTTGTATTCAATTTCATTAGTGGACGTTGTTCTGGTTTTGTTTGTTTTACCACTTGGGATTTTACTTCCCTTCCCTGCTGGTATCAATGCTTTATTCAGTCATGGACCCAGGCGTTCTGCAGGTCTTGCACGTGTTTATGCCTTGTGGAACGTTACCTCCTTGATTAATGTTGTAAGTTGCTCCCATCCATCAATTGACAAGAGCTGATGATATTTTTATTACCACTAATTTAACTCCACCTTTACCTGATAAATGTTTAAAGTACAATAATCCTCGTGTTTTAATTTTTTAGAAGACATGAGAAGAACAAAGTTCAGAAATCTTAGTCTGCATAGGGTTGGAATTATTTATGTTATTTTCTCTGTGGTCTTTACTTCTGTTATCTGAGTGACTAAGAGAATGGCCTGACACTTCGTTTACTAGAATGACAAGAATTGTCACTTTATTTTTCTCTTTCTCTATGTATTTTATTATGTGCTGATCTTCCACTCTCATCCCAGGTGGTTGCATTTATATGTGGATACGTTCACTATAGCACCCAGTCAAGGAAAAAATTTCCTAACTTTCAGCCATTGAATTTTAGCATGTGAGTAGAATTTTTAAGCTTCTGAATAGAAATTACTCGATCAAAAGATTTTGGAAAGGAAAATGATTGTTTAACCGAGACAATCAACCGAAATGAGAAGCTGAGTTTTCGAATGCCATTTGATGGGTTCAAGTGGGACACATATTTCCCACTGAAATGCATTGGATGGTTGTTGAGGACTCGACATCCTGTTTTGGTTTATTCTCTGGGTCCACCTATCATTGTTCATTTGGAAATCATGCTAACAGCCAACTGATGTTTTTTTGCACGCTCTCCTTTGGTTGCAGGGATGAGAGTGAATGGTGGATTTTTCCTGTTGGTCTAGTTCTATGCAAGTGCGTCCAATCTCAGCTCATAAATTGGCATGTTGCCAATTTGGAGATTCAGGATCGGTCTTTGTATACTAATGAATTTGATCTGTTCTGGCAGTCTTGATAATTGTCGAGCAGGTATCTCCAAAGAGAACGCGTTTTTTTGTTCTTTTGAGTATGTTTTCTTTTTGTAAGCTATTTCAGAGTTAGGTGATGATTGACACAGAAGTAGGGGGAGAGATAGAGTAGGAAAAATGAAAAGATAAGAAAAGAAAAAGATAGAGAGGCATTCTTTAATGTAACCCTTCTCAAACAATATGTTAGTTTTTGCTTTTGTTTTTTGTTCCAATGTAAATACGAACAGGGATATGCCCATCCTTTATTAATTTATTTAGTTTTGTTTCTCTGTGCTACCCTCTCTTCAAGGTGCGTTATGTTTCTCATTTTGTCAATCTATTTGTTTTGAAACCAAATACAGTTGCTGATAGCTTGTGGTATTAAAATTCAATTATTTACCTTATCCTCTCTCCTTTTGCCCACCCGGGCTCGAACCCCTCCACTCCATCCAGAGTATGGGGAGGTTATACTGCTAGCCCTTTGGTAGCTATATTCGTGTTTGTTTACTAGTACATGAGTAAAATTTGAGCCACAATTTGGAAAATTTTCTGGTAACTTGTGTGTTCTTGTGGATAAAACTAGCTTTAATCCTTTTGATGGTACCAAGGATACGAAAACTTCCTTGGCCTAAATTTATGCAAGTTGAATGCTAGTCTACAAACACGAGCTTATTTTCCAATCTGCATAAATTATTCTGACAATCCAAAATCATACCAGTTAGAGATCCAACTTAAACCTGAAAGACTTTATTAGTGGTAAAATGCCTCATTCCGACAATTTTCATGTCATCCGTCATGCAGAATCATTTTTCTTCTAAGCCGAATGGCTAGTTAATTAAAAAGTATAACATGTGGTTCAATCTAATCTCATCATCTAAGTTCAAGGGTTTCGAGATCGTTCAATAAACTTCATCCAGCACAACTCTACAGTGTAATTTTGAAGCATTACATGCACTGCATACTTCAACTTTCAACCCCACATAATAATCTGTGAGGCAAAGTTTTCTTCTTTGCATCATTCCTGAGGCGTCGCGCATCCGACTTGCAATTTCACCTCTCGTGTTTCTGCATACAAATAACACAAAGTTAGCATAAATTACAGATTTTATTTTATTGGATGGTAACTACAATAAATGGCAATGTTACATGGACTCAGGCACGTGGGTCGGGTGCGGGTACAGAAGACACATGAACACGGCTAAAAATTTAAATTATTTAATATTTTTATTTTACTTAATAAGTAAAATAATGTGTAAGATAGTGTGCAATATTGACATTATACTCATTTTGAAGCAATAATATAATAAAATTTAATTCTTTGATATGGGTTTTAGGTGCATGTCCAACCAAAAGTGTCGTACACATATGTCATAACCAAAATGTTGGACACATAGTGTCACTTTAACATATTCCTGATTCAAATTATAACTTGATCTTGCCTCATCAATGGTCTTAAAAATATATATATATATATGGTTCATCACCGAATTAAAAAATTGAAAATTATCTATACATGAATTCCTAAGACTAATTGTTACGCATCCAAGACTCAAATTAACGCATCCAAGACTCAAATTAACACAGAAACGAAGTATGGCTTCCTTTCAAATATCATGTAAAAACACAGGAAATTATTACAATTTCAGGGGGAGTACAAGATGCAAGGCACAAGTTTGTATGTATAACGGAATCGTCAACAAAATGATATCATTCTAAAAATCATGTGCGTGTGTGGATTGGAATTGAAAATCAGGAAAACAACGCATGAAAAGTGCCCGTTATTGTGAAGAACTTGAACATGTGATATAGTCAGTGGCACACTTAGCTAAAAGGATAATGGGACAATGTTAGAGTGAAAAAAAACTTTACCTAAAACAGTATTACTCCTTGTTCAAGACTTTGGGAACTTTGATGTATGGCTCCTCATAGCTTGGAACAGCAGATATCATGGCCTCCCTATTGCGAAAAAATAAAAAAAATAAAAAATAAAATAAATTAATTGATTGAATTACAGTACTATGCATCTAAAATTGAGATGTAGAAGCTCCTCCTACCTATTTTCAAATGTTTCAGGCAAATCATCACGCAAATTGTGGCCTTCAGTATCTGTAGATTTAATAAAGATCTTTAGCAGGATCAAATACCAAATGCTAGCTTATGCTCAGAATCATTGTCTACACATGAAAAAATATCGCTACATATGCGTGTGATTAAAATTAGAATGATGATCGACAAAGTATACATGAGCAGTGAATCAGTGGAACACGTAAAATGCATCATATAACGCACAGAATTAATGCCCCATTTGAATCAAAACAACAAAAATCAGAATCAGTATTTAAAATACCATACCCAGTATAACTATCTTTATTTCAAAAGTTACATTACTATCTACAACCACACATTTCAACCTTTTGAGCAACAACAAAATATCTACTCTATGGTTCGTGTTTGAAAGAAACTAGAACTAGAACTAAATCTTTTGATTTTCTACATTAATAATAAAGTGAAACTAGGGACTACATCTTTTGATTTTCTATATCAATAATCAAGCAAATTAAAGGGAAATGTCTCTTTGTTGAATTTGTTAGACATCGCATAAACATGTGTAAACAGCGGGTAACCACTGGGCCAGTAGTCCCGTTGGTATAACATCTCCTTTCTCAAAGGGGAGGTGATCGAGTCCCAAAGTGGGCATTTGTGGGTGTGTGTGTGAGTATTTACCTTAAAAAAAAATATTGTAAAAAGTGGGTAGCTGAGCTTGCCGAGGCAATGGCTCGGGAACCAAGCGTCTCAACTTCAAGCCTCGCCAAACTTAATTAGCAGATTGTTTTCAAATGTTTGCATGCATCCATACAAAGTAATTTCAACTCAAATGGTCTTGGGATACCGTAGCATAACCACAGAGGGAGGAAGGGTCTTGCAAAATGGGTCCATCCAGTCATCTCATTCTTTATTCCTTTAATGAGTTTAGTTTGATTACGTATTAAGTTTACATATGGCCAGCAGAAATTATTGACATACCAGAGAATTAACTGGTCAACTATAGAAACTTCCCATTAAATTGTCTCACAAACCTGCCCTGATGACTGGCTTGATACTCTGAAGATCAACCTCTTGAAGCTGTCCAAACCTGCATGAAGCGAAATACAAGCCAAAAATATGATAATTTAAAATCACCATCATAAAGATCACAAGATAGCCCGCAGAAAATACACGAGAAACCAAATCCATCTTTAGCATCAGAAAAGGCGACGGTCCAAATCGTTACATAAAATAGTGGTAGCTCTCCATACCAAAATAGTTGCCAAATCAGAGTATAGTCAAGGTAGCCTACCACAAATAATTAGTAAATAAGATAAACCTTCAAGGGACAACAGTGCCCCCTGCTTCAACTTAGAGTGCAGTAAACATCACTCGGTACGACACAAATAGGTTTTCAATCAGCATTGCAGTTCAAAAAAATAATAACGAATGCTGAAATCTAACGAGATGGCAAGCCTAAGTTCCTACAGTTGCACAAGTTTTCCTTATACAATCTACATCACTCCATATGACACAAATAGGTTATCAATCAGCATTGCAGATCAAAAAATAATAACGAATGCTGAAATCTAACGAGATGGCAAGCCTATGTTCCAGTTGCACAAGTTTTCCTTATGCTGAATGATTCCCTCTTCGGCTTTTCACATTGGGTGAAGAAGATACATTCTAAATTGAGCTGAATAGCATTAGACATGAACACACACGCCACAAAAGTCACTCAAGCTTTGCATTTGACACCAATTAGAAGTAAGAAATTCCAATTTATAGAGTAAATTTAAAGTTTGACAACTTCAAAAGTATCAATACCACTACCTAAATCTGAATTGAATCACGAAGCTTCAATTCACCACTCAAAGCAGCCAAAAAACTACAATATATGAAGCCTATTATACTCAAATTCATCAGATCCAAATTGCTTATAGTTATCGTGAACAATATCCATTACATTTTAATGAAAAATCCACCAAAATTTCATGTATGATGATGCAATCAAGCATATTTTCTCACACTCAAATCAAATATAATTCACACACATAAATATAAATTCATATACATACATATACAGACTCCCAAAAACCCACTAGAGAGTAGTGAATACCAGTCTAGTACTTGTCGAATTTTGGGAGCAAACTCTTCAACCTAAGGACACAGAAACAGATATATAAAAACAAATATATATATACATATATGTATGTGTGTGTGTGTGTGTGTGTGTGTGAAATTGTGGGTCATGGAAGTTTACCTCATCTGGGGAGAGAGAGATGCGAGCGGTTTCAGCCAAACGAGGCACATCAAGAGGCTCAAGACCAGACCGAACCGAGTAGTTTCGTACCCATTTCTGTGTAGACGATTTAGAAAATCTGCTTCTTCTTCTCAAGTTGAAGACGCCATGGTTCGTTGTTCTGAGAAGAGACAAAGCTTTGCCTCCCATTCTGATGGTTGGGAGTAACAATTGACACTCCATTTTTGCAACTTTCAAAGTCTCCTAATATAAAGGGGCAATTTCAGGTCCAACCATATATATATGTGTACACACACCAGTAACACACGGATATATACATCTATATATATATACACATTACACATGATGGGATCTTCGACTGGGCCTACTCTGTTTCTAGCCCATGATGCTGGCCCATATCAGGTCCAAGGGTTTGGATAAACGGGCCAAGTGCATCATCAATGTAACCATTTTGAATCTTTGATTAGCACTAAGCGGACCAAATTTTGTGCTTCTCACACGAGTAGACATTAGGTGACTCGGGCTATTATGTCATCAATAATGATAGGGAGACCAATGAATTAACGTCGAATAAGTATCGAATCTGACGTGTTTTTGTCCACCTCATCTGCTTAAACAGTTTTCAAAAATAATTATTTAACACGTTATAAGAATGACCAACCACGTCAAATTCGATACTAATTCGGTGATTATTTTTCGATTCCCCTATCATTACTCTTGTGTCACTGGTATATCCATTCAATGAACATGCACCACTAAATTTGTTGAAAACTATTTTTTGGACAAATTGTTATATGTTCCCAGCAAATTAACATTGGATAATTAAGTAATTATGTATAAGCTTTTTTCAGTTTTTTGCTTACATGTGCAGGTGGGACCAATTTCATTGAATGACAAAATATTCATCTCGCTGCGCATACCAATGACATGCTAGCCCACCCAATATCTTCCCGTCCAACATAGTGATAGTATGGAAATTATTTTTACCATTTTCAGATAAAAGAAATATGAAAAATATTCAAAGAACGTGACATGGAGCCATGGACACAAATCACGAACCTAACCATCCAAGCTCAATTGTTTTCTTATGTGAAAAATGAGCTCAAACTCTCAATGAACAAGCTCTTAACAAGCAGAATCCACCAATCCATTCGCCCTAATCTTGTTTAAGCCAATGCTAGTCCAACTTACATGGGTGCTAGAAAAACGAGACTCAAAATAAACAGAGCCTAATACCACATGTAATTCACCAATTTCAAGATCAATAAAGCTCGAGATTTAAGGCATAAATTTGATATGAATAACATATTAGTTGTAACAAGTAGGCGCTTGTCTATTTATCAAAAAGCCTAAACTGTTGGGTAGTATTGCATACCCATCTATTTTTTCATCCGGATCTAATGTGGGACAAATAACCCTTTTTACATTCTCCCCTATTAGAGTGTTTCTCAAGTTCATCATAGTGCTTTATTTGAGGTGGAGTAATCTTCAGTTGAGGTGGAGTTATAAAGAAATCCTTGTTCAAGGTGGAGTTATGGAGAAGCACGTGAAGATTGAATTTTGAGCCAATGTAGAGATTGTTGGGTTTGTGGCTCAAAATTTGTGTGCAGAAAATTAGTTTCCTTTTTCGTTTTAGAAACTGCGAGAAATAGTTTCCTGATTCGTTTTGGAATCCAGAAGACTTGGGGAAAAAGGCTAAAGATTTGGGAAAAAAGTTATACCTACTATTTTAGAGTTGAAAATGGATATGGTAACTTCTTGTAGGTAAGTTGATCCTTGTCCAACAAGGAATTGGATTTGAGGAATACTTGTCCAACAAGGAATTGAGTTTTGAAGACTCTATAAATAGAGATATGTATGAGGGGTTTAGAGAGAGAGAAGAGAGAAAAGATGTAAGGGGTTTAAGTATGAGTGTTGTGAGGAGAGAGGAGCGTATATGTAATTCCCGAGTGTATACACGTAGCCTCAAAATAGATGAGGAGTGAGTGAGTGAGGTTGTGACATGTAGTTGTATATTATCTTCTTTGATTCGTAATAGTGAAATCTCTCTCTCCCATGGACGTAACCCTAGAGTTTGGTGAACCATGTAAAATATTGTGTTGTACGTGGATGTGTGTAATTATTATCTCCATATATGCTTGTTAATGTGATGTGATGATACTTCTACTGTGTGTGATGAAGAAGTGATTTAACTCTCAACAACAGCCGATCGTTGAGTGGGTTGGAGGGAGTTAATTATCCCCAACAACTGGTATCAGAGACAATGATGGGTCAGAGTCTGTGATTGGTCCTGAAGATCAGTGCAAAAAATTGGTATGAAGTTTATCAGAGCAAAGGATGATAGTGAGGTGTTTTGGAGATTCAATCAAAGTTGATGATGACATAAAGGTATGAAGAAGGTGATGGCGTGAAGCCCATAAGGAACAAGTCTTGTGACAAGCCAGAGGATGCTCGTTTTCAAGATGCGGCAAAGGTGATAGAGGTGAAGCCCACGAGGAACAAGTTTTGAGGACAAGTCAAGAGTGAATGCTAATTCTCAAGATGGGGCAAGGAGTGTGAAGAATGAAGGGGTTTGCTCTAAGCCCGATAAATAACAAAAGGGAATATGAAAAGTGAAGAGAAAAGGTTTGTTGCTTTAAGCTAGAAAAACAATTGATGAAGACGAGTTGAAGATTGGTGGGTTGCCATGCGTGAGCAATTGAACACCAATGAGATGGATAGAAAAGATAGAGAAAAAAAGAATGATGAAATTTGAGAAAAGGTGGAGATTGTTAGAGTGTTTCTCAAGTTCATCATAGTGCTTTATTTGAGGTGGAGAAATCTTCAGTTGAAGTGGAGTTATGAAGAAATCCTTGTTCAAGGTAGAGTTATGGAGAAGCACGTGAAGATTGAATTTTGAGCCAAGGTAGAGATTGTTGGGTTTGTGGCTCAAAATTTGTGTGCAGAAAATTAGTTTCCTTTTTCGTTTTAGAAACTACGAGAAATAGTTTCCTGATTGGTTTTGGAATCCAGAAGACTTGGAGAAAAAGGCTAAAGATTTGGGAAAGAAGTTATACATACTATTTTAGAGTTGAAGATGGATATGGTAACTTCTTATAGGTAAGTTGATCCTTATCCAACAAGGAATTGGATTTGACGAATACTTGTCCAATAAGGAATTGAGTTTTGAAAACTCTATAAATAGAGATGGGTATGAGGGGTTTAGAGAGAGAGAGAGAAAAGAGAGAAAAAATGTAAAGGGTTTAAGTGTGAGTGTTGTGAGGAGAGAGGAGCGTATATGTAATTCCCGAATGTATACATGTAGTCTCAAAATAGATGATGAGTGAGTGAGTGAGGTTTTGACATGTGGTTATATATTCTCTTCCTTGATTCGTAATAGTGAAATCTCTCTCTCCCATGGACATAACCCTAGAGTTGGGTGAATCATGTAAAATATTGTGTTGTGCGTGAATGTGTGTGATTGTTATCTTCATATATGCATGTTAATGTGATGTGATGATACTTCCGCTGTGTGTGATAAAGAAGGGATTTAACTCTCAACAACAGCCAACCGTTTAGTGGGTTGGAAGGAGTTAATTATCCCCAACATCCCCCACCTAAACTTGCAAAGCCCTCTAGGCCGGAAGTTAGGCGTGACACCGAATTAAGAATTGGGTCTGCCTCTTATACCAATTGTAACGGATAGACCATCCAAAAACTCAAGTTGTTAGGTAGTACTGCATACCCACCTAATTATATTAATAAATAATGTTCATTGAGGAGGAGGAGGAGGAGGAGAAAAAAAAAAAAAAAAACTTATAATTTTAAACTTGCAACTATAAAATTAATATTTGAGAAAACTATGTTCTTTAATTCAGTTAAGATCATAAAGTATTCTTATATACTAATTAATTATAAATTGCAATATATATATATATATATATATTGGAACTTTTTAAGTTAGAATATATATTGATATAAATATTTTTTGTTATTGAACATTTTTATTTACAAATCTAAAATATGTAATAGAAAGAGTGTTATTTGTTGATAGCACATAAATAAAGCTAATTCTGTAATCAGTGCCCAAAAAGTAATAATATTATAATAATATTTTATTTTATGTTTATTTTGTGGAGCAATGTGGACGTGGTACTCAAATTGTGTAAATGGTTGAGCTTAGAGGTTACCATTTATAGGGCTCATGTCTACTTTCGACATTAATATTTTATATCATTACCTCAAGACTATTTACTATTCCAAAACCTTCAACGGATATAGAATCACTCCAATATTCTAGAATAAAACACACGTGCACATGAGCAAATATATGATAAAAATAATAATTATGTAGTTATTAGAGTTTAGAATTTCATTAGTAAGTAGTTGATATAACAATTTTAACACAAATATAAGAATAAATATGCATGTACAATTTTTAGAAGTAGTTGATAGAGTTTAGAATTTTATTAATAATTGATATAATGTAATTTTTAGAAGTAAATAACTGTTTTTATATATTTATTGAAATAAATTATAATATAAAACTTAAATATAAGAATAATTTTGTAAATATATTTCTTAAGAGTAGTTGATAGAGTTTAGGATTTTATTAGAATTTGCCATGGATTTTTTTTTTTTTTTAATTTTATTTTATTAGTAAGAGAATTATTGTTATATAGTTATTGAAATAAATAATATCATAAAAAATTAGATATAAGAATAATTTTGTGTATAGAATTAGGAGTAACTGATAGAGTTTAGGATTTTATTAGTAGTTGATATGAAATTTTTTTAAATATGTTAATAAGAGAATTATTAGTTTTATATTTATTGATATAAATAATATTTTGGATGATATCTACATATCCGCGGTCATTCACCGATATATATGAACTAGAAATATGTGGTAAAAAGTAGTTAAAGTTGTCTCTTCCCGTCCAACTTACATAGATATTGTCTGTTTTGCACATTTTCTTATTTGTGCTCAAGAGTTTTTTTCAAAACGCGTCTACACAATTAAGAAATGTCCACATATATAAGTGTCATCAAACATTTCCGAGAACGTCACAAAAATAACTTCTCAAATGGATTAGTTGGGACATGTGAAAAACTGTACCTGATGGTAATTTTTTTGTCGATTTCGAACAAAACTCTACCTTCGTGAAGGTTGTAGCTCAGCTTCAGAGTTTGGGAGGTTATTAAAAAAAATGTTTGTAAAATGTAAGTGTATAAAAAGATTCAATTTTTTTTATGTTGCAATGTCTCCATGAAATGGCTCCAATTAATCAATCAGCAGCTTAAAGGATCTATTG